CAAATTCATGTCCAAAATTTCTCCTCTCCACAACTTTGTTGTGAGAATGGGAAGTAGCAGTATATTGATCACATCATTCTATACACAAACCAAAATGAAATCATGAACTCAAACACAAACCACAAGGACAAAAGTTACCAGAAGTAACATGAAACAAAACACATGGTCTAATTCCTACTCTCATAAGGGAAACCTATTTGTAACAAATTCTAAGGTGAATTTGTCAGACTTTTAGTATCTAAATGAGAACTATATGTGGATACCTTTTATCATTTAACACTTTTAATATATAAAACAGTAATCCAGATGAGGTTATTATCAGACAATTATTTTCATGTAATGAGAGGAGAGAAATGATATAGCCCTTCTCCAATAGCATACTGTTAGTCTTATTGAGCATATGAGCACTTATAAACATTTTTACTACCATTTCACTACTAATCTCTAACTTAGAATTAAGAACTCTTCATGTATCTTTGCATGCATTGGAAGTAAGCTTGAGATTTCTTCAGAATGCACAAAAGAAAAAAAAATAATTAAAAATAACTATATGTCAGGGCTATGTCTAAAAGAGTGTAAGTACTACATGCATTAAGTACTTTGATAACACTGATTAAAATGTTTAGCTTTTACTTCTGAGTATTGCAAAAGATAAGAATTTGACATGCAATGTAGAAAGCATTTATTGTTAACAAAAGGATGTAGAGGCACTTTAAGGAATATGCTGGAGAAAATGTATTTCTTGTACTTTGTTAGTATGTGGGATAAATACGAGAAAATATTAAAGAGACATAGGAAAACAATCCAATTTACAATTACAACAAAAAGAATACAATACCTAGGAGTAAATTTAACCAAGGAGAAGAAAGATCTGTACACTGAAAACTGCACGATGTTGATGAAAGAAATCGAAGAATACACAAATAAATGGAAAGGTATTACCTGCTTATGAATTGGAAGTATTAATATTGTTAAAATATCCATATTACCAGAAGCAATCTACAGATTCAATATAATCCCTACCAAAATTGGAATAGCAATTTTCACAGAAATATAACAATCCTAAAATTTCTAGGGAACCACGAAAGATCCCAAATAGCCAAAGCAATCTTGAAAAAGAAGAAAGCTAAAGACATCACGTGCCCTGACTTCAAATTATACTACAAAGATAGTAAACAAACCAGTATGGTAGTGACATAAAAACAGACACATAGATCAGTGGAACAGAACAGAGAGCCCCCAAAAAAGCCCACTCATATGTGGTTGATTAATTTACAACAAAGGAGGCAAGAATATACAATGGAGAAAGGACAATCTTTTCAACAAATGGTGCTGGGAAAACTAGACAGCCACATACAAAAGAATAAAATTAGACTACTGTCTTACACCATGCACAAAAATTCAGTCAAAATAGATTAAATACTTGATGTAAAACCTGAAATCATAAAATTCCAGAAGAAAACATAGGCAGTAACCTCATTGACTTTTGTCTTGGCAATGTTTCTTTGAGTCTGACTCCAAAGACAAGGGCAACAAAAGCAAAAATAAAGTAGGACTATGTTAAACTAAAAATCTTCTGCACAGTGTAGGAAAATATCAACAAAGTATAAAGGCAGCCAACTGAATGGGAGAAGATATTTGCAAATCATATATCCAATAGGGGGTTAATATCCAAAATACAGGAAGAACTCATGCAACTCAGTAACAAAAATAGACCAATCTGATTTAAAAATGGGCAGAGGATCTGAATAGACATTTTTTCCAAAGAAGACATGTAGATGGTCAAACAGACATATGAAAAGATGCTCAACATCATGAATCATCAGGGAAACAAGAAATATGAGATATCCCTTCACACTCGTTTAGAAAGGTTATTATCAGAAGACAAGAAATAATGGTGTTGGCAAGGTTGCAGAGAAAAGGGAACTGTTGGGCACTGGTGATGGGAATGTAAATTGGTGAGGCCCCTGTGGAAAGCAGTACGGATGTTCCTGAACAAGTTAAAATAGAAATACCATATCACCCAGCAATTCCACTTCTGGGTATTCATCTGAAGAAAATGAAATCAGTAATTAGAAAAGATATATACACCTGTATGTTCACTGCAGCATTATTAACAATAGCCAAGATATGGAAGCAATCTAACTGTCCACAGATGGATGACAGGATAAAGAAGATGTAGTATACAATACATATTCAGTGGAAAGTTATTCAGTCATAAAGAATGAGGTCTTGACTGTACTTCAATAAAAAAAGAAGAAGAAGAAAGAAAGAAATATAATAAGCCATTTGGGGTTGGGGGAAGAGAATGAGGTCTTGTCACTAAGGATCATATGGATAGGACTTTGAGGGTATTACTCTAAGTGAAATAAGCCAGACAGAGAAAGACAAATACTACGTGATTTCACTTATACATGGAACCTAGAGAACAAAACAAAAGAACAAACAAAAGAAAACTAATAAACATAGAGAACAGATTGATGGTTGCCAGAGGGAGGAAGGTTGGGGGTGGGGGTAGGTAAATGGGTGAACAGGATCAAGAGGTACAAAGTGCCAGTTATAAAACAAACAAGTCACTGGGATATAATCTACAGCTTGGTGACTAGTCAGTAACATTGTATTGTATATTTGGAAGTTGCTAAGAGAATAAACCTTAAAAGTGCTCAGGAGAAGGAAAAAGATTGTTGAACTTTGTATGGTGACAGATGATAACTAGACTTATTGTGGTCATCATTTCTCAGTGAATACATGTAGCAAATTGTTATGCTGTATACCTGAAACTAATACAATGTTATGTTATTTATACCTCAGTTTTTCAACAAAGAAAATATGAGATTATCTGAATGGAAAAGTGCATCCCAACAGGAAAGTAGAGCTAAAGTATATGTATAATAACGTTACACAAGATAATATTCAGACAGGGGATTATAATGTGTGTTTTGAATATCTACCTCCTCTATTGGCCAAGTCAAATAGCAATATTTTCCTTATGTCATTTTTCTTTTATTTTTTATGAATTATTTCATATATATAAACATGTATCTGTATAAAACACACAATCACATACTCACCAACAAGCATGAAAAATAGAACACTGGCAATACACTTGAAGCCCCTCAGCTTCCCGTTCCAGTTTCTCCTCAACCTTTACACCCGGGGCAAGTATTGTGCTGAAATTTGTGCTTGTCATTCCTTTGCTTTATCATCACATACATGCAGTGAAGTGCACAACTCTTGCATGGAAAGTTCAATGTTTTTATATCTATGTGTTACCTCATGTAACCACAGCGCAGATTAAGACGTGGAGCGTTGCCAGCACACCAGGGAGCTGTATTGCACCCTCTCCTGGTCATTACCAACCCATGTGCAAACAACGTACTTCCTTCTATTAACACAAAATAGTGTTGCCAGTTCTTAAAATTAAGATAAAGGGAATCATGTAGCATATACCATTTTGTGTCTGAATTCTATCATTCAACATTATCATTTTGAAATACACTCGCATTGCTGCATGTATCACTGTACTCGTGTTGCTGTATTGTTTTCCATGATTTAGTTATCTATTCGATGGCTCATGGGCATGGATTATTTCCAGTTTGAAGCTACTATGATCAAGACTGCTACAAACATCTTTGTACATGTCTTATTGGTTGGCGAATGCACTCAGTTTTGTTTCACTTTCACTTAAGAGTAGAAATAGAGTAGGTATTTGTTTCGCTTTGGTAGATACTGTAGTTTCTTCCAAAGTACATGTACCAGTTTAAACTCCCACCAGCAATATGTGTGAGTTCTGATTGCTCCACACTTTGTTCAAAAATTGTTCTTGTTATTTTTTTTTCTTAATTTTAGCCATCTGGTGGATTTGTAATGGTGTATGTCATTGTGGCTCTAATTTGCATTTGCCTAAAGACTGCTGTGATTTTGAGCTCATTTACATATGCTCATTATCCACTTGGATATCCTTGTTTATGAAGTGCCTTTCTTAAAATTAGGTTGTCTGCATTTTACTTAATGACTGAAGGAGCATTTATATATTCTGGATACAGTCCTTTTGTTGAGTGTGTATATGGCAAATATCTTCTCCCATTCTGTAAATTCTCTTTTAACACACTATTCCTTCTTGATTCTCACATCTTTATTTCTGGACTTATTTTCTTTCTTAGAGTACATTCTTTATGTAGTCTTGCACTGAGAATTCAGTTGGTTATAAATCCTCTCTGTTTCTGTTTATCTGTAAAAGTCTTTTATTCCTATATTTAAATGTTATTTTGATTCATAGCCCTTGAGAGTATTTCCCTCAGCACCCTAGCTTCCAACTTCTGTTTTGGACTTGGAAAAGTTTACTGTTTGCTCAGTTGATGTCCCAGCCTTATCTCTGTATCTATCTTCTCTAATTTCACTATTATGTGATATATTGGGAAATTAAATTTTTATCCTTCTTGAGATACTCAGTATTTTCTAAATCTGAGAATCAGTATCATTGATTAATTCTAGAAAGTCTCAGATATCAACTCTGAATTTTGCCTTGCCTCAGCCCTACACAGCCTCCCAATTTCTCCTGCTCTAACTCTAAATAAGTATCATGCCTTCTTAAACTTATCTCAATGTCTTTTTACATCTCTTTTACACTTTATATTGTCTTGTCTTTTTTTTGCTATATTCTGGGTGATGACTTAAGATGTACTATCCCCACAACTTTCTCTTCTGTTGTGCCTAACCAGTTTATTATTATTATTATTTTCTAACATTTTTACATTTCTTCTGTACTCTTACTAGGACAAGACCATTAGAATAAGTTTCAGTTTCAGATTGTCAATCAAAACTACAAGCCACAATAGGCTTACCCAGTACTATTTCCTTAGCTTTAGTAAAGGGTAAAAAACAGATAGGAAGCACTATGCAGAGCAAGAGAATTCCGGAAGCTTCAGACACCCAGATGTAGCATCTCATATGCCAAATCACTGCACTATTATCAAGAAATGATAGGAAAATGTTAAGAGTGTGAGTCACACCAGCACAGGGAAGCTACAGGGAGCAAGGCCCCTCAGCTTGGTCTCACCTAAAGGCCATTCTTTAGTATTGCTTCAGTACATTAATGACAGAATAGATATTATAAACAATTATGACAGTCATGGACATTGTGCTTAGATTTGCTTTTCATAAATCATACAGCCCTTCTTGGAGTAGGTCAAATAATAAAGTCTTCCAGGCCCAGCCCATCTCACAGTGGGTACACGGTTCCACTGACCCTCCTAGCAGTCATTTCCTCATTTCCTGAGTTATAATCAAAACAGACACACATAGTGGCTCTGGGGACCATAGTGATGTCTCTTGGTCTGTGGAGAAGAGCTCTTATCGTGGAAAAGGCTGAATTGAATCCCTTAAAACTACCTTCACTCAATCCTGGCCAATATAATGATTATAACAATACTGCATCCCAGTGTACTGACAGAAATCAACACCACTCTTAAAGATTTCAAGATGATCTACGTCAGATAGAATCAATTCTTAGAAAAATAAAATAAAATGGGAAGGAGACAGGAAGAACCAGGTGAGGCTGAGGTTGTAGCTTGAGATAGTGTGGTCAGGGCAGGCATTGGAATGAAACCTGAGGGGAGTGAGGGAGTGACCGGTGTGGCTATCTGAGCAAAATTCATTTCCTGGTGGGGAGAAAGCAAAGGCTGGGGCCTGGAGGCAAGACTGTCCTGTCCTGTCTGATGAACGGTGAGCAGGCCAGCACGACTTGAGCAGTGAGTGAGAGGACAAGAGGTAAAAGAAAAAAAAAAAGTAACAGGAACAGATAATGCAGGCCTTCGCAGATCATTTTAGGAATTTTGGCTTTTACTCTGAGTGAGGTAGGAAGTAACTGTGGTGTGAAATAATATGTATTTTAATGAGATCGTTCTGGCTACTGTGTTAAGAGTAGGTTGATCGGTAGCAAGCGCCAGAATGGGGAGAATGGTTCCAGGGTTACAGCAGAAATCCAAGAAGAGATGATTGAACTTGGGCCACACTGGCAGCAGTAGAAGCAGTAAAAAGTGGTAAAATTGTGGGAGTATTTTGATGGTAATATCAAAAGAATATTTTCATTCCTAGATTCAGTTTTCAGTATTCCAGTCCATCAGGATATGTTTGGATCTTAATTCTGACTCTTCTTTCCCACAAATTTTACATATCCTCTTCCCTTAGAAGTAACTTGAGTCTTAAGCCTTTAGATAAACAGCCAGAAGGCTCATTAATGTTGACTTTGATCTCAAAACAAACACTTTTTATATTAAATTCTTGGTTATAAGAGCCAAATACATCTCCAAGAACACTTTCCTTTCTCCACTTCTCGCTCCCTTTCCATTTCTTTTCCCAGAAATGTTAGATTGATTCAGCCAGGAAGAGGGCAGCATGAACAATTGGTCGTCTTGGCATCTGTTACGGAGTCCAATCATATTGGGAAATTTGGTCGCTGTGCTCAGTACTGTAGGTCCCTGGTTACAGGGAGCAGGGTGAGGGGTGAATATCTCTCCCCTGGCTTCTTTAACACAGGGAGCCTCTTCCTTAATAGTAAAGAATTGATTTCAACCCCAGTTAAAGAATATTTCAACTTAGTTGCTACAGGAAGATAGTTATTCCATAATTAAACATGACAGAGAACACACACACACAAAAGAAAACTTGTTTTCAACCTCCTAAAATCTTTCATGAAGTTTACTACGCCTTTCAAATTCAAGAGAGCTGGAAGCACAGTACATAAAAGGACTGACATTGTGAGAAATGTGATATATGATTTCCACTAGAAAGCCCTTGATGATTTACAGCCAAACTAAGACATGCATTCTCCTGATTTCCTAAAATCTGCGCTTACTAAAAGTACAGATTTAATTATTTTCATATACCAAATAAAAATACTAATTGTTCATTATTATTTGAAAAGTAACAAATTGGCCTGTGAGTTCTATGAATTTGCCAAGGTTGCTGAGAAAGGATTCTCAGTGGACTTCAACAACCAAACGTGGGGACAAAATGTTTTAAAAGTTCTTGCTCTTACAGGCACAAACAAGCAAAATAAAATAAAAATGAAAACATTTCAGAAATTGTAAACAACAAACTATATTACCACATCAAATCACTAAACAATCCTTAGGGTATTGGAAATCAGGATTCATTTCACTTAAAAAGGAGGAAAAGAAAGATAAGAGGAAGCAAGCTAAATCAGAATATAAACATCATATGAAAGATTTATAACTAATTTTTTCTGTTGAAAAGTTGTTTCATAATTTGTTGCCTTCAGAAACTCTTTAGTACGAAACCAATGAATAATTTCTATACATAATGCGAAGTAATTATGAGACAGGAGATTAGCTAACAGCTTTTGTATAGAATATGACCTATGAACCAAGTGCAAAGCTTGCCATTAAATTCCTGTATAATTTTAACGAGATAACTTCTCTGTCTCTTCATTTTGTTAGAGGCAATGTAATATTGTCCCTGTATACTTAACATACAGTGATACATAAATGAAACAGCTTTCTTAAAATCCTAATAAACATTCATCTAAAGGGTTATCTAGTGTATACTACGTAAAATAATAAGGCATATTATGAGATCGCTGGTGATATTGCAGTAACGAACTCTGGTTATTAGGTGGCAGGGGAGAGAGTTATGGAGAATTCCTGTAACTCAATGGCTTTGGCTGTTAAGCCGCAAACACACTTATTTACAGTGTATTTCTCAAACAAACTGAAAATGTGAAGTCAAACTCATTTCCACAGCTCCAAGGGAATCAGGTAAGAAACCTGGGTATTTTAGATCACTCTCTGATACAATTACTTTTTGTTATTTTTAACGGGAATGATGATAACACTAGAAAAATGTCAAAACAAATGCTGAGAAAAATGAAAATATTTGGTGAGATTTTATCCTATTTTCAACTGGTTTTACTCAGAAACTGAAATACAAAATTAATTTTCAATTGCTTAAATGTTGGTAGTGGAAATCAGAACCACAAAAAGTGTGCACGTTAAATAAATATGTCCTAAGTAACAATAAAACAAAATATATAGCTTTTGGCACCACAAAATAGACTATGTGAATTCCACATCATAGGTTGCTCTTTAAGTTTTATCTGTTAAAACTTTTAAGTTTGTTTTCTCCTTTGCAATAGCCAGTCAAGTTTCTTCTAGGGTCCACTGGGGAATATGTGTTTCCAGCTAGAAGACTAGACTTGCTTTTCCACTGAAACGTTTATGTTCACTGCCCAAGTGCATTTAGTCACATCTTGTTATTTTTGATGTTTTTAATTTTTGAAGATTTCTGTAAGAGAAAGAGATTAAGAGGGGTCCATCAGAAATATGTATTAGAAATAGTCAGGAAAGAAACTATTTTCTTTCAAACACAGTTATAGGGCACTTACCTGCATATACATATATATATATATATATATATATAATTTTTTTGAGAAATAACTAGGAACAAAATAAGAAGATCCCCAAACAAAACAAGGAACTAATGTAAACTCTTCAGAAACAAGGTAGATATTTCTATGAGGTAACACTTTAAATGTGCAAAGTGTTTCTCAGTTTACAAAGTGCTTTTCTTTGCATTTTAATTCATCCTTATAAAAACTATTATCTAGGTAATGTAAGGTAAAAAACTTAATCCACAGGGAAGTTAAGAGACTTGCGCAGCAATCACACAGCTAGTAAGAGACTGGAGCTTGATTGTGTTTTTAAAAAATGTTTGCGGACTCATCACCTTGGCTGGGACACAATGCCTACAGATGGAAGCTCAAACCTAGTGGAGTTCTAAAGACAGCAGAGCAGAAAAGGGTACCTGTAATGTTATACTGAAGAAAAGCAACAGGTCTCAAGCATAAGCTGTACAATCTGTAGTTTCTAATGAACATATACACAGACTTGACATTAACACATCGTGTCACACTCTCAAGGAAAGCAAGTTACATTGCAGATAGGAATTCTGTCAGTCTTCAGGGAAAATATGGCTTCGTGGAGCATGGGGCATGGGTGGTTTAAAAAAAAACTAAGCATGTACTATTACAGTCAAGAAGTACAGAAAACTGATCATCTCTTTCACTTTCCCACACCTCACTAGTACTATGATCTGTTAAGTGTTAGCCCCCATGGACCTGGAAAGGAACATTCTGAGGCTCTCCTCCCGAGTGCACATCAGTCTATGACTTCCTCCCTGCCTCCCTTCTTCCTTCTTTTCTTTCTCCCTTCCTCTCTCTTCCCTCTCTTCTTCTTTCCTTCTCCCCTTCCTTTTCTCCTACATCCTGGCTCTACATACAACCTTAAGGAAGTTACCTAACCCTTAGGTGCCATATTTCCTCATCTTTAAAAGCAAGAAGGGGGATAATAATGTCTATTTTATAAGGTTTTTGACAAAGATTAGATGAGTTAATAAATGTAGAGAGTTTACATTTGACAGTAAGGAGGTCTACTGTCTCACCAACTGTTAGCTGTTTTTATTATATATGTGAAATACAAAGACAAAATACACAGACTCGTGACTCTGAGGAGCTCACAGGCTAACTAGGAAAGAAGAAAGGGGATGTTAAAGTAGAAAGAAGTGGAATTTCTCCGTACACCGCATCCATTCCCCTAACAGCCTGAATTTATTTTCTTCTGTCCACTTGCCCCTTAATGCTAAGTGGGGCTGGGGGCTGGGAGGTGGGGTCTGATGAGAGGCAGATGGCCTGGATCCCAGGCTTTCCCTCATTTCACTTGCTCTCCTCGCCATACACCGCCCCCAGTGGCTGCCGTTAGATTTTTAGGTCTTCCTTTTATCACAAACAGCAGTAAAACTACACATTGAAGAATATACATTATAGATGAAAGAACACAGGATTTTTGGGCAGTACGCCCAGATTTAATTCCCACTTCTACCACCTACTATCTTTGTGACTTTTTCTGTAAAAAGGGATAACAACCACATTTCTCCCTCACAGCGCCGCTTTTCCTAGGGGGAGAGTAGGGTGAGGGCAAATGAAATAGATATAATGTAGTACAGAGAAACAATCTGAAGACCTCGGTCTGATTCCTGATTCTAAGACTTACTGGCTGTATGTCTTGAGGAATCTCTGAATTCCATTTTCTTACCAGTGAATGAATTTTGGTAGTAATAACTGAATCATAGAGTTGAGGAAACATCAAATGAAATAATGGACCTGCAAGTGCTTTGTAAAACATAAAGTGCTATGGAAATATTACTTGCTATTACTATCTCATATTCACATAAAACTGTTATAAGCCTGTGGCTTGTAAGTTCAATCTGTCATCTTGACAGTTATTAGTCTCACTCTCCCTTGTCAATAAACTGATTTGGGATAGTATAGAGTTAAGCAGAAAAATGGGAGGTGAGGGAATTAGAATAATTAGATGATCTCAATATAAAATAATAGGATTTAAACAATCTCAGTTTTGGAAGGGACCTTATAAGTTGCCTCTCTCTGCCTGACCTATCCCCATCTTCCACCCAGGTTAGGCATGCCCTAAATAACACCTGTGCTCCAGTAGCCAGCTCAAGTTGACAGAGCTGATTTTACACTGAATAGGAACTGTGTTCTTTATTGCATTAACTTTCAAGAAATCTCGAAGTGAGAAAGAATTATTTTTTCTGACAATTATTTAGGTTTTAACATTCAAGTTGGTTTAAAGCCCTCAACTCCTTTGGTATTTATCAAACATTCCTTTGGAAAATGTCACAAACTTAATATGGAGGGGGTGTTTCTTACTTTGAATTGATACTGACTGATTACTTTTGAATATTCATAACTACTTAGATGATCATATTAACTGAGGGGTGTGGAATCATGTTCCTCAGAGATCAAGTTGAACACTTCAGCCATAGAAGAACAGATACAGGATGTAGCCTTGTTTTGGTTTGCTTTGTTTTGTTTTTCTCCCTTAAATGTTTTTTTCAAGAGTCAAAATGTCCTTCAACAGTCAAAATCTATATCTTTGAAGAATAACCTACTGTTGAGTCCACAAAATGAAGCTTTAAAAAGACATAAAATTAGATGAATAATTTTTTTGAATGAGAGGATTACAGTCAAAGAAAATCTCCATTTCTTCACAGTATGAAGATTCCTCAAAAAACTAAAAATAGACTTACCATATGATCCAGCAATCCCACTCCTGGGCATATGCCTGGGGGGGGAGACTTTAATTCAAAAAATATATGCACCCTAATGTTCATAGCAGCACTATATACAATATCCAAGATATGGAAGCAACCTAAATGTCCATACAGATGACTGGATAAAGAAGTTGTGGTATAGTTATACAGCGGAATACTACTCAGCCATAAAAAAGAATAAAATAATGTCATTTACAGCAACATGGGTGGATCTGAAGATCACCATTCTAAGTGAAGTAAGCCAGAAAGAGAAAGAAAAATACCATATGATATCACTCATATGTGGAATCTAAAAAAAAGAAAAGAAAAGAAAAAAGAGGACACTAATGAATTCATCGTACAAAACAGAAACAGACTTGCAGAC